AAAAATAAATTTCAGTTAACATACCAGCTCGAACATTTACATCTCTAGAATGTATTACACCGACACGATTCTTAGCCATACATATATAAACTTGAGCATGTACTTCTTGCTTATAATCTTCTGCTCGAAAAGGTGGAAATACCAAATTTCCATCTCCTTTGACCTACACAAATATTAGACAATCAATTAAAATTTATATTTGGTTCATATCGAGARCGGCAGTAACCAATCAATACAATCGGTTTATCACACAACCAATATTTTTTAGAATAGTCAATAAATATAGTAATTGTAATACAATTTCATTGTTAATTATATATACAATGTATTATGGATTATATTATATTATTTTATTTCAAAATATCTYGACGATATTAATACTTTAACTAAGATGTCTATAATTCAGATTGGTATCAGAAAAATACATAATACTAAATCGATTTTACAAATATCAATTTCAAGTATTTCAACCCAACATACAATATTATAATATTGTATGTTGACATTCATACAAAAAAAAAATTAAAAATATCTATAAATAAATGAAAATTTCACCGAAATTTCAACTAAAATTTCCGTTTAGCAGTTTAAAAGTGGGCTGTTTTAGTTTTGATATTAGAATTAATTGACTTATCGTCAAACTTTTAAGTAAGAAAATTGTATATGTGACTGCGTGTTCAATCATTGGTTTTTTACGATTTTTTAATTTTTAGTTGAGTAATGAGTATGTGTAAATAACCTTCGATAGTAATTTTAACTCTATAAATGTTGCCTATGTAAGAAAGTGGTTACTGCCCTGTTGTACATTTATAGGTGTCGTGTGGGTTACTGAAATTGATCTGTTAAATTTAAATTTGTTGATATAAAATCATTGTAAACAAAAAGTAATTTTGAGTGAAGACAGGCTGTAAGTAAAAGTAAATATAATTATTAAAAAATGTTGTATTACATTTTCGAATTTTAGATWAAAAAAAACTTTACTCATAAACAATAATTATTGTTAATTTCAACTTTTTTTTWAATTACACTCACAACTATAATAAAGGTCCTTAAGAAGCATTTTCAAGWTTTTTGGATAAAAAATTTATAACAGCAATTATTAGAAATACTTATTAGAAGGGGAAATGTATTATGCCTATAAATAGCAAAAAAAGATAAAATATAGCCTACTGCCTACCAGTATCATTCTAGAATGAATATATATGCAGTGGTGTAAATTGGACTTAACTGTTAGTGTTGCGGAAAGGTTGTAGGCAAAAAAAACTTGTGAGGGATTAGCCCTCTCTTCCCCAAAGCCTACACATGATTTAATCATATATTTATATGATATTATTCTAAATTTGACATTGAAGTAGGTACCTACACAATCACAACAATATTATTTTATTATTAAATGCTAAAATGCATAATAATGCACTAATATTAATATACCTATATACATTAGACATTAGTATTTAATGCATTATAATATGAATATCAGAATATACACCAATACACCATATACAATTAAATAGAGGGTTATCTATTATATTATAGTTACCTAGATTTTAGAATGGATAGGCCATGGTTCATTTATGATTATCATACTGAACGGAGATACACGAAAATATATTGAGGTATACCAACACACTTTTATACATTGGTTTTTAAAATATAAATTAGTTTATTATATTGATATTGCAGTTGGACATGGTTTTTAAATTTTTTAATTAAATACATTTTTATTTTTTAAAAATTACACATATTATTTTCAAAAGTCAGTGCAATCCTATGCAACCTCCAGTTTACGATTATGCATATTAGGGATCATTTTGTTATCTTATGGAGTGTTTCTACAAAAAATACTTCATTGCATATATGTACACAAGACTAAAAAGTCCAGGAAAATATCTGATTTCTATCTACTCGTCCTATCAAACCATGGGTGTAGRCACATGCAAACTAAAAATGTTCAGATTATAATTGTTTTATCATACATTATATAATTAAATARTTTGTTAAATAAGAATTCTTACTTGTCGTAAACCAGGCACGTCTCCGACAGCAGTACCATCAGCACGTATCCAAATAATTTCAGGCCTTGGACTCCCTCTAGCAGTACACTCAACAATAGCTCCAGTAGTATTTGAAAAATCTACTCTRTTCTCGGGTTCTTTGATGAACATTGGTCCCATGGTTGTATCATCTTCGCACAAGACTATTAGAAATATAAAATAAGAAAAAAATTAGTTTCGTAAAATTGTTGTTCATTTTAAATGAGTAGAATAAAACATAAAATAATTATAAGTATGCTTTTAACTATTTTTACAAACAGTGGTGTAGCTAGGAGAGTTTAGGCGTTTACCGCCTTCCCCCCCCCCC